GACAGCTGCTGCAACAATCGGTTTGCATTACCAAAGAATTTCTGCACAAACGGTCAGAAACCGTCTCAGGGAAGCTCATCTGCATGCTCGTCGTCCTCATCGGGGTCTCGACCTGACAGCAGTTTGTCATCGTAACTGACTTGAGTGGGCAAATGCTCACATTCGATGGCGTCTGGCACTTTGGAGAGGTGTTCTCTTCACGGATGAATCCCGGTTTTCACTGTACAGGGCAGATGGCAGACAGCGTGTATGGCGTCGTGTGGGTGAGCGGTTTGCTGATGTCAATGTTGTGGATCGAGTGGCCCATGGTGACGGTGGGTTTATGGTATGGGCAGGCGTATGTTATGGACAACGAACACAGGTGCATTTTATTGATCGCATTTTGAATGCACAGATTTTCAGTTACAATAATTAATCCTAAAATTCGACATTAGTAACTTACTTCTAACAGCATCAGATGTGCGCGCGCGCACGATCTTCCTGGTTCTTACTTGTGAATTCAGTTCACTGGAGACTCGCACTAAACGGATAATTTGAATCAGTGAGTTGTCGACTCGAGAACAGCTGCAATCGGATCATTCCATTTGGTGAATGAATCGTTTGGTGCAATTTGCAAACCGATTTAAGGGATTCATTGAAAAGAATCAGTTATTTCATGAATCAGACACCGCTTCTGCGTCCCGGAGCACGTGATATATTATAAGGAGTAACGATAAGTTTTATGAAATGTAGTGAAGTAAAAAGTACGATCTTATGCTTTGGAATGTAGTGATGTAAGAGTAAAAGTTACTCAAAATAAAACTACTCCAGTAAAGTACAGATACTTGAAAAATGTACTTAAGTACAGTAACGAAGTAAAACTACTTCGTTACTGTCCACCACTGCCTACAGTTGCCTCCTTGGTTTAAAGTAGCATTTGCTTGTGTTCACCTTCAGTTGCACTTTCAGTCTAGGGATTTCCTGCACTTTACTCTCCATCTCATCATTCTGATTGGTCAGACGCACCAGCTCTTCCGCCATTACAGTGCGGCTTCTCTCTAGGCTAGCAATCTCCATCTTGAGGATGACCAAAAGAATTGAATTCAAATTAGCACATTTAGTTTTTAAACACAAAAATAAATTACTCATTCAAGAATTCATAATCTTCCACAAGCAGTTATAAGCATGGAAGATGCAATTTTACACAGGATTAATTGTAGTGAAAGACCAAGGCATACCTGCAGCTGGGCAATCTCGCCCTCTCTGAGTTTGAGCTGAGACTGCAGGTTCTCAATGATACTGGATCCACCACTCAGTCGAGCCGCTTCATATAGATTAGTCCCACTGATGGACATGGTCATAGTGCTGAAAGAATGGTCAAGAGAATCCTCCTGCTGAAAAAAAACAAACACAGAAGCCAGGTGAGGTGACAACAGACTGTGAGATAATTAGGAGGAGAAAAGATTCACTGAATCTGAATAAGTGTGGACGGGTGAGATTAATATACCTGTGAGAAAAGGGAGGAAGGTAAGCCGGCATGCTCAACCCCGCTAACAGAACTGGAGCGGGACAGTGTAGGAGTGGAGGATGCTGGAGCATCAGTCACAGACAGACTCAGAGTCTTCCTTTCCTGATGAAACAAAAACAGAGGCTAGCTGATTTTACTCCACTCACAACTGTCTGGTGTGATAAAAAGGTTTATCTTGGACCCCGTTTAAAATGGTTAAGTAATTTTAAGTAATTTCTGGGGGAAACATTAATTAAGCAGTTGCAGAACAGAAGAACAGATTCTGGTATTTTCATGCAAAACCTTTTCTTTGAGGGCCTCTTGTGCAAGGTAACATTTCTTCTTCTCCTGCTCCACCTTCATTTTCTCCATTTCCAGTTGGTTGGTGAGAAGCAACTGAAGAGGACCAAATAATACAGACATTGAGAATAAATATGTGTATATGTTTTCTTATAGTGTTCAAGGAACAAACAGTACCTTCTCCTTTTTGGCCTCCTCCAATACTCGAGCATGTTCTCCTTTAAGATTCTCCAGCTCTACACACTCCCTATACATACAGAAATCAGTTTGAGTACTGGCACTTAAAATGGCAGCATCTTTCTCAATTTTACACAAGTCTCATACCTGCTAAAGTCATCCTCTAGTTTTTCCCGCCGCATCCTCTCTGCATCCAGCTGCCCCTGCAGACGTCCCTTCTCCTGCCTCAACAGGGAAGCCTGCGACTCTAAAGACGCTATCTGTGCTCGGATGGCTAGCAGCTCCTCTGTAGCCGAACGCTCTTTCTCTACGGAAACAGCAAGCTGGGCTTGGGCATCAGCTGAGAAGAGAGAATGACAAGTGAAAACATTTGGACAACGTCACATGTGGGCAAAACATTGTTTGAAAACCTCAGATTGAAGCAAATAACAAGCCACCGATACTCAGTCAAAACTAAGCAAGTCTCACCTAAACGGTCAGAAATGTTCTTCTCTAGTTTTTCCCATGATGCTGTCTGGGCCCCAAGTGTGGCCTGGAGGTTCTCTATTTGTCGAAGGAGGGGCCGTGTTGCTGATGTAACACTTTGACTTAGTTCCTGGTTTCTGGTCTCTGCTTCTTGTAACCTCTGTTGAA